GCAGTTACCAGTAATGCATGTTGTATATTTTTATTTTTGTGAGCCCTGTTCTAGTTTGATTTATTTTCCACTCAGTATGGTAAAGTACAAAAAACATGGCCTCTGGATTCAGACAGCCCTGAATTTGGATTCTAGCTTTACCATTAGACATTAAATAACTTTTCCAAACTTGAATTTTCCAATTTATAAAAATGGAGTGATGTCTGCTTCATTGGTTGGTATATTTGTTACCTATTGCTGCATGATAAATTACCCCAAAACTTAGCAGCTTAAAACAACACTTATCTGCTGACAGTTTCTGTGGGTGAGGAATTAGGGAGCAGCTTAGTGGGGTGTCCTGGCTGGGGATCTTTCCTGAGATTTCAGTCAAGCTGTTGGCTGGAGCTGTAGTCATCTGAAGGCTTGACCAGGTCTGGAGAATCCACTCCCAAGGTGGCTCACTCACGTGGCAGTAGGCGTAGTTCCTCATTACATAGGCCTTCTCCGTAGGCTGTTTGAGTGTCCCCCTAGCATGGTAGCTGACCTCCCCCAGAGTGTGTAATGAGACAAAGAGAAAGAGAACAAGGAAAAAGCTGCAGTACCTTTTGTGAACTAATTTCCAAAGTTGCACACCTTTACTCTTCTGCTTTATTTTATTCGTTAGAAGGGAGTCACTAAGTCCAGCAGTCTTGTGTCGGGTTTGAGTTAGCCTAATTGTGTTAACTCTGACCAGGGGGCCAGGAGGTTTTATAATGATTCAGTGGCAGGTAAATGCCTTTGAGTTTTATGGTTTATTGTGAGGCTTTCACACACCAACAGTCATGTAAATAAATTCAGCACACAGAGATAGTAATAGAGAAGGGGAACGAGCCACTGAACCCCAGTGAGTAGCTCGAGAGACCAGTACACTGATGGATGAACCCAGCAATTCTGGATTTCTCCTGAAACGCTGGCAGGGGTTGGGGGTGGGGGAGGAGTTGTTGCTCTTTTCCCAGTAGAGCTTTTGGCAATAGCTGCCTATGAAAAAGAGGCCTCAGAGTTCTCAGTGGCAGAGCTTTTGTAGGCATCACAGTCATGGTCAGTGTTTTTTGTGATTTTTATGGCCATCCATAAGAGTGTCTGTAAGCCATTATCTCAGCCACCTTCTGCTTTACTTTCTTGTCAGGTCTCTGGTGTGCCTGGCCACAGCAGGTGTTACCACCTCAGTCCACCATACATATGCTTATCACTTTGAGGGGTCAGCAGTTTTACTGTAGGCTGAGTTACTTGTCATAAGTGACACTTACTTTGAGACATTCAGGATCACAAAACATTATTATATATCAAGCCCACACTCAAGAGGAGGGGGATTAGGCACCACCTCTTGAATTAGGGGAGAATTTGTGGACTGACAGGACTATTTCCAAACCAGCATAGGTGGTTGAGCCCTAAGGGGCCCCCTCTCTGACCACTGCTGACAGGTGCTCTGAGAGCCTGGTTACCTTCCTTGCTGTGAGTCCACTGCCCTGTTCAGCAAGTGGCAGGAACAGGTATTCTAATTGAACAGCTACCATAAAATATAGAAGTGACAAACTTTTCATTGATCCAAAGGCTAAAGCGATAGTTGTTATAATGACTACCTATAAGGGTAGAGTGATGTGGCTTGGATTCATTTTCTCTCTGCCTAGTATAATAGTAATGTTGCCATCATCCCAAGGGTAAATAATCAGGGCCTTATTGTTTGAGTACATTAGGTAAAGGAGATGTTCCTGAGCTATATTCAGTCTTTGGTAAGATGAGAAGAAAGCAACAAGAAATCTAACCATTGAAAATTATTTCTTGTAGGCCTGTACTGTGTAAACATGGCCAAAAAATGATTGGAGGTTAGCTAAGCTAATAAGTAGCCTTTAAGGCCATGTTCTCATCTGTAGTAGAAGCCTCCATGTAATACCACAATAGAGGAATAGAAAAGGGAAGCATATTCTCCTCCTGCACACCAAGGCAGGAGTGAAGACTATCCCTACCCCTTTCCCAGGTCCTGATCTTTAAGTCTGGGTCCTTTCAGGATAGTGACTTTAGAGGTTATAGGGCTATATGTCAACTCAACTTTTAGCCTTTTTTTTTTTTTTTGAGACAAAGTCTTATTCTGTTGGCCAAGCTAGATTGCTGTGGCGTCAGCCTAGCTCACAGCAACCTCAAACTCCTGGGCTCAAGTGATCCTCCTGCCTTAGCCTCCTGTATAACTGGGACTACAGGTGTGTACCACCATGCCTGGCTAATATTTTCTATTTTTAGTAGAGACAGGGCCTCACTGTCACTAAGGCTAAAGGCTGGTCACCTTTTAGCCTTGTAGTTGGTTCTAATGTATAATCTTGGGGATGAGTCCCCAAAGCAAAAGCTGATAGTACCAAATTCAGAGTACTGTTGCAATTAGTCAAATAAATGACCCAGAGTGGGTGTTCACTCTGGGGCAAAGGAGAATGAAAATGGGAAAATGTACCACATATAAGCTAATTTCTGAAGTTTATGTCTCCACCCTACACCACTTCTCTAAGCTCCAGACTTGATAATTCAACTGTCTACTTGACAACTTCACTCGGATATTAAATGACTGACTGTCTGAAACTTAGCATGTTCTAAACCTTGAACTCCTGGTCTTTACAACCACTATTTCTCTATACCCTAAAAAAAAACCAAAAAGCAAACAAAAAACTGCCCTGATTCTTCTGCAGTCTTCCTCATCTTAGTAACTGGTAACTCCATTCTTGCAGTTACTCAGGCCAAAACCTTGGAGTTATCCTTTGTTTGTTTTTCTCTCGCAGCCCACATTCAATCCGTTAACAAATACATTAACTTAACCTACAGAATATATCCAGAATCTCACCATTTCTCTCCACTTCCAGTGCTACTGCGCTCTTCCAAACCACCCTCTCTCTTGCCTGGATTACTCGCACAGCCTCCTTATTGGTCTTGCATACACTGTTGTCTCTCTACAATTGTTGTCCACATAGTAACCACAGGGAGCTGTTAAAACATGCAAGTCATTTGATACCTGTACTTAGTATTCCTCAGTGGCTTCCCAGCAGATGCAGCAAAATGACAGAGTCATCACAGTGTGGCCTACAAATTCCTCTCTGATCTGGGACCCCAGTCTCCCTGATTTCATCTGCTATCTTCTCCTCCTTACTGTGTTCCAGCCAAACTCCTCTTTGCTGTTCCTTGTACATAAGCACAATCCTACCTCAAGGCCTTTGTTTTTCCCTCTACCTGGAATGTTCTTCCCACAAATATGTGTGACCTACTCCCTTACTTTATTCATGACTTTGCTAAAATTCACCTTGTCAGAAAGGTCTTGCCCACCTTCTCTATGACTTACCTGGCATGTAGTGGGTGCTCAGCACACGTTTGTCAGATGAATGAAACACAGCTGGAGGCAACATGTGGCAGCTCCTGTGCTTGTTGTGCCTCCTGCCTCCTGCATGAGGCTGTTCTGGTTGCTGCATGGCTGTGGAGCTCACTCCTTGAAGTGCTGGATATTTTCTGACTTCTGAAGAAGGCTCTGAGGAAGGGTGATCAGGTTGAACAATAAGCCTGAGACATGACTAAGTAGCTGTGGGAACAGGATAGAGCCAGCCCAACCACTCCCTTCTGTAGTAAGGAAATTTCCCTTGAAAAACAAAAAGACATTCCTTTATAACATCCTGTCTAGAAAGCACTTCACACTAGAGTGGCACTGAGCAGGCCTTGGTTTGGCAGGGACTGGTTACAGAGGCAGCTTGGGCCTTGCCCATTCCACTCTCATGTCCAGGTGCCTGTGGGGGATGAATGTAAGACCAGTTTGTGAGTAGTATAAGCCAAGAAAAGCCAAGCCAGTTAAAGGTGACACATGGGATTAGCCCATGATATAATAAAATGTTACAGGTTTTTATAGCCTCAAAGTGAATGTTTTGACATCTTATTTATCCAAGAACACTGGGAGATCAGCAGGGGCAAGAATTATTTCCATTTGATAATGGGTATAGAATGGAAGCACAAATAACTAAAGAACCAGCAAACCTGACATTCGGACCAAGGTGTATCAATTCATTTTCCCATCTTGCCAACAAAATGACGTCTGGCCTGCTTTGAGTTATATTGCTTTCCGATTACTGTAACTGGTGAGGCATTGGTGGAAAATATAGTTGAGATAATAGAAGGCTAAGTTCAAAGAGTTATCCTCCATCTCAGGCTTCTTAGATCATTAAAACTTACCTAATTTTTAGACTACAGCTGCTATTTAGTTCTTCCTAAGTGATCCTTAAAAGCAGAGGAGACCAAAGGCTTCTAGGACATCTAGAAATTCTCCCTGTGTTGGGTTCATTGAGATTGTTGCAAATCAGGTATACATGCAGATTCTGTAAGCTGTGTATAAAAGCTCTTGGGACGCTGGTTGAATTTCCTGTTCATTCCTTTCTTCCCCTTGTGAAGACCAGTTTGCTGGATTCCCTCTTCCCTGGGAGAGGCCTGGTCATTGTTATTCATCAAGTAGCTTCTCCACGCATTCGTTGTTTTTACATACCTAGTAACAGGATTTGATTATAGGTGTTTGATTTTAGGATCTCTCATTTCCTCAAGGGAATGTGTGACATTTGGCATGATGGATAATCATTGTTAGTGCAGATGTTTTAGGAAAAACCTAAATTGATAGAGGGGATGATAATAGCCTGTGTTTGCATTTTCTTTAAAGGAGGCCTTAATTTAGGACAGTTGGGCTTGTGTCCTTTTCCAGTAGGTTGGAGAACACCTACATTAGAAACTCACATGTTAGTAATCCTGATATCTGCTTGGGCAGCTCTGGTGGATGGGGATAGGGAATAGGGTTGGTCCCATTACCCTTTTCTGACCTGAAATGCTCTTTCTCAAAGCTGAATATAAGGGTGGGCCATATTCTAATGTAGCCAAGACTGACTACATTAGAAGCAGGGCTCTGAGCCAGTGGGTGGGGCCTTAGTATCCTGTTAGAGTAGGCTTCCATGGTAACTGTGTCTAACACTTTTTCACAGCTGCTCCTGATATCACTGGCCATAAACGGAGTGAGAACAAGAATGAAGGGCAGGATGCCACGATGTACTGCAAGTCAGTTGGGTACCCTCACCCAGAGTGGATATGGCTCAAGAAGGAGAACGGTATGCCCATGGTGAGTAGGAGGCAGCCCTGGGTCTCTGGGGTTGCTGGAGTTTCTCCTGGGGAGGAGGCCCAGACATCTGGTCTAGTTGCTGTAACAGCTATATCCTCAGATGTATGCATGGCTTGAATCACTCTTTCTAGAGTCATAAATGGTTTACACTGTGAATCTGGAGGTCTTGGACAGTCTGTCCAGCATGAAATCCCTGTACATGATTTGTTAAAGCTATCTATCTGGTAAGGGTTAGATCGCTTGCCTTCAGGATAGGACGCAGAAAGAACTAAGCCTAATCTTAAACTTCTGCTGTTGTTCTAGTTCATTTATCCTAAGGAAAATACTGTTCTTGAAGTGGTCTTAGAGCACCTGTCTTGTTTTTTGGGAAGACACGGTATTGAGGGCAATTGCAATATATTTGTAGAACATGGAAAATACTGATAAGGAATTGGGGCAATATGAGGAGGCCCAGAGGCAGCTTAGACATTGGGAATCTGACAGTGTTTGCTCCAGAAATGTTCAAAGAGAAGATCTTTTCCGATCTGTGGGATGATTGCTGATGGTGTTTTAAAGAGTCAATGCCTTAGACTCTTTCTTACTTTCTCTCTAATTTAATGATTTTTGACCAGTTACCTTTTCTGTGAGAGGGGGTATTATACATTCCTCCCATTCCAGGCATCCTCTTTTTTTTTTTTTTTTTTTGAGACAGAGTCCCGCTCTGTTGCTCAGACAAGAGTGCCGTGGCGTCAGCCTAGCTCACAGCAACCTCAAACTCCTGGGCTCAAGCAATCCTCCTGCCTCAGCCTCCCAAGTAGCTGGGACTACAGGCATGCGCCACCATACCCGGCTAATTTTTTCTATATCTTTTTAGTTGTCTGACTCATTTCTTTCTATTTTTAGTAGAGATGGGGTCTTGCTCTTGCTCAGGCTGGTCTCGAACTCCTGAGCTCAAAGGATCCACACGCCTCGGCCTCCCAGAGAGCTAGGATTATAGGCGTGAGCCACTGCGCCCAGCCCAGGCATCGCCTTTGATTTTCAGTCTTCAGAATCAGAGAGGGCCTTAGAGATCATTTAATCCAGCTTCTTTGGAAAGGTTCCATAGTAACCAAGGTGAATTAGTGGCAAAACCAGGGTTGTATCTAGTTTTTTTATTTCAAGTCCATTGTTCTTCCCACTTCATGACCTCTTGATAATAAAATGTCAAGTGGTGATAATAACTCTGACATCAACAATGATGGCTAGATTTCAGAGACCCATTAATAAGGGGGATCAGGATGAGGAATAGAGAGATGAAGATGCTGAGTTGAGTATTTTCAGGGTAGGCCCTTGAAAGTTCAACAAGACATTGAGTTTTCTAAGGAGATGGTAAGGAAATGCCTGTTTCTCTATATTGGTCACTAGGGAGGAGGACAGTCCTTGAGCTTTAGCCAAAGTAGGTTGAAATTACTCAGTAGGTATTTTCATCTCTTGAAAGACGAAGCTTGACGCATCACAGAATAGCTCCTCTTTTGAAGTCTATGAGTTTCCCATTTCAGCCATACCCACACTCAAATGCAGACACAATCGTATGCTATATCTCTGCAATTCCCAAGCCCCGGGCCACGGACTGGTACTGGTCTGTGGCCTATTAGGAACCAGGCCTCACAGCAGGAGGTGAGCAACAGGTGAGCAAGTAAAGCTCCATCTGTATTTACAGCTGCTCCCCGTCACTGGCATTACCGCCTGAGCTCCGCCTCCTATCAGATCAGCAGCAGCATTAGATTCTTGTAGTGCTGACCCTACTTGTAAACTGTGCATGTGAGGAATCTGGGTTGCGTGCTCCTTATGAGAATCTAATGCCTGAAGGTCTGAGGTGGAGCTGAGGTGGTGATGCTAGCGCTGGGCAGCAGCTGCAAATACAGATTATCATTAGCAGAGAGGTCTGACTGCACAATAAATGTAATGTGCTTGAATCGTTACCAAACCATCCCTGCCCCCGTCCATGGAAAAATTGTCTTCCATGAAACTGGTCCTTGGTACTAAAAAGGTTGGGGACTGCTGCTATACCTGGAATCATTTTGGGGATAATCTTCCCCCTTTTTTTCTGCTATTTCTGGTTATGTGTTAATTGTTGCAGAGTGAAGACACACAAGTTCATTTTCCTCCCTGCCAGGATCCCCTGAACTGAGTATGCTGCAAGCCATCCCAGTTGCACTCAAACCCCAGCTTTTGCACTCTCACACCTCTGCCTTCACACATGTGCAGATCTCTGACTGGAGTACTTCTCCCTGCTTGATCAGCTCTCCTCCAGCATCTAGTGCAAATGTTAGCTCTTATGAGAATCTTTCTCTCACTCTTTCTGGCAGTGGCCTCTCAACCTGTGCCCCCTAGCACTCTGTACAGACTCTTTTCAGGCTTCGTAACACAGTCTTGTAACCACTCTTCCCTTTGGATATCAGTTCCCTCTTGAGGCTAAGCTCCTTATTCATTTTATGTCTTACTTCTCCCTGTCTATATCACCTTCCCCTTAGTAGGATATAACACATGGAGTGTACATTAGTAAGTATTTGTTGATTGATTGAATAACCTTTCCTCTAACCCTGTAGTCCTGAAGGAAAGGGAAGTTATGAATTTCTCCCACTCTGACTAGGAGAGATTTCTTGGCATTGCCGTGAAGGAAGTTTAACAAGACTTTTCAGAACTTACCAAGCGCAAAGTATATGTGCTGACTCTGAAGTCATTGGACAGGTCTGACAGTGGGGGTCACAGCCCTGCTTCCCTTATCCTCTTCCTGCTACCGTTTCTTATCTGGTGTTTGAAGCAGCATTTACTAGATTGTTGGTCTTTTTTGGGTCTGTAAACGGTAGGATCTCTACTCACTGCATGGAGGTTGGAGAAGTCCAGAGGACCAACAGCAGGGGAGGCTTGTACCCTGGCTCTACCAGAAGTTTGTTGATTTGTTGTTGTTGTTGATATTAAAGGGAAGTCATAACGAAGTGCTCAGAGTTCCTTAGACAAAGATGGTACCTGACACTGCTCCTTCATTCCAGCCAGTGCCCTGATAAGAATGAAGAACAGTGGCACCCTCTCTTGGACACTGGCTCATCTACTCTGACTTTTGTGTGTTCTCACTTTTTCTACAGGAGCTTGTCAATACTTCTGGCCGCTTCTTCATCATCAACAAGGAAAATTACACCGAGTTGAGCATTATGAACCTTCAGATCACAGAAGACCCTGGCGAGTATGAATGTAATGCTAGCAACTCTATTGGCTCTGCCTCCGTTGTCACCATCCTCAGGGTACGGAGCCACCTGGCCCCACTCTGGCCTTTCTTGGGAATTCTGGCTGAAATTATCATCCTTGTGGTGATCATTGTTGTGTATGAGAAGAGGAAGAGGCCAGATGAGGTTCCTGATGGTAAGAGCATCCCTACAAAATAGTTGTAATGTTGGGATTGTTTCCCTCGGGTGGTAGCCAAGTACCCAAACAGGACTATAAAGATGTTGGGATTCAGTCCCAAAAGGAAAGAAGAAAAATTCTTATACCAGTTCCTAATTCCCTACTGCTAAGGTTTTTTGCATTAGCCACCTAGAAATATAACTAGCCCTCTCTCTCTGGGTATTCTCCAAACCCCAGTCTGTCTGCCTTTCAGGCCCCATGTAGTGAATGGGCAGCTGTCAGTCTCTTTGTTCAGCTCTGTCCTCCTTCAGTACAGATCATCAGGCAGATTGAGCTTGAGGAAAATCCAAGTCAAGCCTAGACACCACCCCAAGATCGCAGGCAACCTGGCCTTTCAGTCAGATTTAAGGTATCTAATTGGTTGTCACATGGTTGCCTGGTATAGCCCCCATAGGTAACTGCCCCAGCCCACTCAGACTCGCAAAGCCATTGATTGGAACAAGCCAGCCTTTGGTTCCTTTGGTTGGCCCTTTGATAGGTCTTTAAGGCTCTCTGCTGGTTGGCTCTTCTGTGTTTCACAGATATAAATGGTGGAGGGTGTCTGATGTATCCACTGACCCAGGTTAAGACAGAGAAAGCTGGGTGGTAACACCTGGAGTCCATGCCCCAAGGCAGTGCCCTCAAGCTGGCCTAGGGTCAGAGAAGGGAGTAGATAGTAGCAGCAGGACCACAGTGAATTGTTAAGCATTAGAAAGAAGTAAGAGCTAAAATCTTTCATTATTGGATATGGCTAGAGTCAGAAAAGTCCTGGGAAATTTTTGTAATTTAAATTTTATCATGGATTTTCATATCTACCCATGATTACAAGCAGGGAGAAACTACTGATGGAGACTTGTATCAGGTATTTCAGAGCTCCCCTTCCCCACCCTCCAGCCCTGTAACATGACCAGCAAAAGGAAATTAATTGGCCAGTCAACCATTACTACCACTTGTCTGTCACTGGCTAGACTAGAACAGTGTGCCCCACACATGGTATGCCCCTAAGCTCAGTGGAAGCCAACCTGGGTTGATGGAGGGGTTGTGAACTGTAGACCTGGGGTGATGGTGGGGTTGCTGGCTATAGACCTAGGGTGATGGTGGGGTTGCTGGCTATAGACCTGGGGTGATGGTGGGGTTGCCGGCTGTAGACCTGGGGTGATGACGGGGTTGCCGGCTGTAGACCTGGGGTGATGGTGGGGTTGTTGGCTGTAGACCTGGGGTGATGGTGGGGTTGCTGCAGTAAACCTGGGGTGATGGTGGGGTTGCCGGCTATAGACTTAGGGTGATGGTGGGGTTGCCGGCTGTAGACCTGGGGTGATGGCGGGGTTGCCGGCTGTAGACCTAGGGTGATGGCGGGGTTGCCGGCTGTAGACCTAGGGTGATGGCGGGGTTGCCGGCTGTAGACCTAGGGTGATGGCGGGGTTGCCGGCTGTAGACCTGGGGTGATGACGGGGTTGCCGGCTGTAGACCTGGGGTGATGGTGGGGTTGCCGGCTGTAGACCTGGGGTGATGGTGGGGTTGCCGGCTGTAGACCTGGGGTGATGGTGGGGTTGTTGGCTGTAGACCTGGGGTGATGGTGGGGTTGCTGGCTGTAGACCTGGGGTGATGGTGGGGTTGCCGGCTGTAGACCTGGGGTGATGGTGGGGTTGCCGGCTGTAGACCTGGGGTGATGGTGGGGTTGCCGGCTGTAGACCTGGGGTGATGGTGGGGTTGCTGGCTGTAGACCTGGGGTGATGGTGGGGTTGTTGGCTGTAGACCTGGGGTGATGGTGGGGTTGCTGGCTGTAGACCTGGGGTGATGGTGGGGTTGCTGGCTGTAGACCTAGGGTGATGGAGGGGTTGCCAGCTGTAGTTTGGCTGATCTGGGACCTGTGCTTGTGTACTTGTGGTGCTGTATTCTGCCCCACAGAATTGACTTGTCCGTTTGGCCGAACAGTAGGACTACGGCACCCCACCATGTCTGTCAGTGGAGGATACTAAGTGAGGTCTGGTGCTCTCCCAGAAAGAGTGTAGCCCCAAAGGCATGCCAGTGGCTTTAGACTCTCTGGAAGGACATGTTTGAGAGCAACAGCTCTGTCCTTTTTTTCCCTTTCTTCTCAGCAGCTCCTAAATCTCTTTGCTTGCAGTAAGTAGAGTGAGTATTAGGGTAAGTGAGGTTGGTGAAGAAGTTTTTTGTTGATGCTGTCAACACCTGCAGGAAGGCCTGGTGAGCTCCCCTCCAGATGTACACTGAGCAGTGAAGTGGATGGGAGCCTGATGGGCGGCAGCTGGAAGCAGATGGGCCTTTGTAAGAGTGGTCTAGTTCCCTGCAACATGGGAGCATCCCCAGGAGTTTTACTCTCCTACTCTGGGAAGTGAACTTGCTTTCTCGGGATTGTCATGTATCCCTAATGCTTTTTTTCTCCAGATTTTTCTTTCCTGCTACTTACTAGGACTCCCAAGGCAGAGTACACCTATATTTAGACTTGAGAGTAAAGGGAGAGAGTTGCCTGCCTTTTGTGTGTTTTCAACTTTGGCTCTTTGGGAGCAGTTATGCCTCATTCCTAAAAGGGGCCTTTCCATCCCTCAGAATGCTTTTGCTTTGCCACATACCGCCTTCCTCAGCCCACCCTTTGGAAAGGTTGAGAGGCAAAAAGTCAGGTAAGAGAGGGCAGAGATGGGCGTCAGAACCTGATATTTGAATTTTAAAACAGGCTGGCTGGCGCTTTCACGACAGAGTGACACATTGGCCTAGCATGTCCCCATCAGAGGTCCAGTCTTTATCCTAAGAACCCACTACATTTACGAGGTTGCTATTGCAGTGTATGTGGCAGGCCTTCTGGTTAGATTGGAGAAATGGTTAGTATTGTTCTGTCAGAAAAGTGCAGACACCTGCCTAGGGAAGCAGCTATCTTTTTAAAAGAGTTTCTTGCTTATTGGACTCAAATCGGGGACCAGTTTTTATAGGAGACATCTGTGGCCAGCAAATCTTCTGAACAGCTTCCTGGAGGGAAGATACTTCTTTTAAGCTAAGTTATTATATAGACAGTGAACGAATCGCACATAAGAGATGACTGCAGGGTAAGTGCAAAAAGTAAAACCTCCTTGCTCTAGTCTCTTGGGAGAATACTGTAATGCAAGCAGCTTTTACTTCTTTGTTGCTGAATTGGGGTGCAAAGTGTGGGGTGCTGGAATGATTGCAAGGTTTGCCTTCTCTCCTTCCTTCCTGACAGCCAGTGTGGGCCAGGCTCCATTCTCCGCCTCCATTCCCTGCCCTTGCTCTAGCATCCCCATTCCATGCTTTTCTCCTTTGTCTCTCCACCTTTTTCCCAGACTCCTCCCTGCTCCCACCTCCTCCCCCTTTTTCCTCACCTCTCCTGGAAGTAACTGTTAAATGACAACAACAACAACAAAAGGTCAATTGTTCTTCTGTGAGTTTTCTTTATTCTGTGGCTTTTTCTTCTTTAGCCACTCTCCCCTCAACTCCTATGCAGTTCACAGCAAGGACAAACTCACCTACATACTTTATTCCCATTTGCTCCCCCAGCGTTTACTTACAGATACATGCATACACTGCTTTTTCAAATAAGTGCATTATATTTGATACAAACTTGGGAGTTTTAGGGGTGATAAATTTTTACCTATCAGATAATTAATCATCTGTGGCTCTTTGTTGGCTTATTTATGCCATTGTGAAAATGGGAACCTTTTTTATGGGCCTGACATGCTTTTTCTCTGCCAAATAGGTACTTTATTGTCAAGATATACCTATGGTTCATTTCAGACTCACTGAAATGTTTTTATACAAACTCATAGTATTCATATTTCGGGTAGTCTGGGAGTTCTTGGTAAGTCATGCCCTTACTAGAAAAGCACTAAGGCGAACAATACAAAAATACAAAAACACACAAATTTGAATTTATATAGTGTTTAATTTGAGTGTGTTTCACTAGAAAAGCAAATATCACTTTAGAGTTCTCACTGAAAACGTTTAGAGTTGAGGTTTAACTGCTTCCTTTAAAAAAAAAAAGCCCCATGTCTTTTTATCTACTGGAATATTCTCAGGCCATTTTGTAAATGAAATCTCACACCTACATTTCTTTAATCCCCTGTTACGGTCTCTTTGAGGATCAGTGCCTAGTAGGTTGTTGTGTAGGTGAATTATCTACATATCACCTTTTACCTTCAGTGTTTTCAGGAACAAGTGAATCATGGAGCCAAATAAAAGCTTTGTTTTTCACTTTATTCACCACTTGACTGCATTCCCTGAAAATGTTAATAATTCTCTAAAAAGACTAGGTCAAGCTAGCATCCTCTAGTCTTCCATCCATGTTACAGTTGGCACCTGCTGGAATACACCTTCTGTGTTGGTTCCCTGCCGACTACCCTCCGAGAGCTGCAGGGAGATGGGACGTGAACTTGCTTAATTGCTGGGGCCTTCAGTTCTCCGGGGCATTTTATTGACCTCACAAACATCAAATTAAAACTGTAGCTGATTGAAGAAAAGAAGTGCTGGCATCAGAAAGCACTTTCTATTTTCATATCAGGATAATTTTTATAAGCAAATCAAAGGGACTCTTTAAGTTACTGGTGGAGAAAATATTTGAGGGAGCCATTTTTAGTGGCTCTGATATATTCAAGCTCTTAGATACTTTAGAACTAAGAGCTATACTAATGTTCCAATACCCATTAGTTTGTCAAAACATTTGGTAGCATATAAACCCCTTACAGCAGGCCAGGGGTATGGAAAATGACATGAAAAACACACATTCAGTATCTGTTAACTAGGGGTCATCTGAGTCAGTAACAAGTTACCTTATGGAGAAAATGCAATAGGACCAAAAACAAGGGAGAAAATTGGAAGTCATCGTTAATCTCTATTGGGTTTAATGCTCATCTGCAGAGATCAAGCAAAATTTAAGTGGATTTAGAAACCATAAAACCCCATCCTCAGTGAGATGAACACAATGACAAAGGAGCTTTGACCAGAGAGTCAACTCTGTTATTTTGACTTTAAAGCCATCTTTTTGGAGGTGATACCTGCATTAGGCAATCTGTTATTTACTAGACATTGCAGAGTACCCCTTCTAGATGATGAGGCGGATATAGACGGAGCGAGGGCCGTAGTGCATATGGTTGGGAAGACTGAACATGCAGATCAATCTGTGTGTGCAACAGCTCCACCAGAAACTTCAGTCTCATAAGGTGGATTCCAGAAGCATCTTGTTTCCATTCTCCCCCCCAGTCCTCTTCCTCTCATCTAGCCAGTGTCTGTAATACCGAGGTGGAGAGAACAGTCATTGTTTAAGCCGGCTATCTTTTGGCCTGAGGGTTTGGGGGTATGTTGATATTTGTCGGTTACTATGACTTCTTTTTTTTCCCCCCTCAATTGCATCAAACCCTTAAAACATGGTGGTAAGTGAGCGATATGCATGCTTTTGGAGTTTGTTTAATCTCCGCTTCAGTCTATACGATGCACAGTTCATAATGTTAACACTTTTCTTCAAGTTTACTTCATTCACTTTCACAACTAATTTGGATTTCAGTTTGCTGTTTACTCCTCATTTACTTTGATTTTCGTACCTTTTTCTGTAGTTCTGTTCTTTCCCCTTCTCCTGACTTCCCTATTAGGGGTCAAGTTGTTTTTTGTCAGACCTGTAAGGGAGAGTGGTGCTGCAGATAGTGATTCAGTCCAGGAGAGTGGGGAGACATGAGGCTCTTTCCTTTGTTCTTTGTCAATGTGACATTGGATCTGGGGAGAGAGAGGGCGGGGGGCTCCTGGGATTTGGCCCCCAGTGTGAGACTCCGCTGCTCCCACTTGCAGGCATGGCAGCTACGCCAGAGGCACTGTCGCTAAAACACCTCCATGCAGCCCTTTGCATGTTACCAGCTTGTTCGGCTGGAAAGTGATGTTACTAATCAGACACCAGGGAATACCCCACTCCAAAAGCAAAAAAGCCTGCGGTGCGAGGTGCTTGGGTTGGTGCCTAGTGTCATGCTTTGAAAAGAGTAGCCTGGCTATTGCAATTCTCCCTCCCCTGCTTTTTGTTTTAATATTGGGAGTAGATGGGTGTTATTCTTGATTCAGCTATCTTGCATTAGAATTTTGTATTTTTGGGTGCACAGCCAGAGCACTAAAAATATTCTAAGTTTGCTCCTGTGTCTTTTTCTTTAAATCCCCAAAGTGCTTAGTTCCTAGCATGTAGCTGAGCTGGCTTGGCCGAGATGCGGAGCATTAGGATGTTGTGAGGGGAGGATTTAGGCTGGGCTTGTGTGTCTTAGTACCTGGTATGTCTCTGTATCTCTCTACTGCATACACAGCACACAGATGTCCTAGGTGTCCTTCAGTCTTAGTTTGTTCTCTGTACCTGTTCGATAGTGTACTGTTGTTAGTAGTGGACTCCTGTGGACACTGGTGTGTCGCTAGCCTATTGTTTTGGCTGACGAGTCATTGGTTTGTGGTTAGTTCTTTTTTTTGAAATCCTTTTTTGCTCCAGTCACTGTGTGTGCTGGCGGTGGCTTTGCCTCTCCGTTGCCTCCAAGGAACAGGTGGAGCAATGTCTCCCTCTGACAGACATTACTCCCGACGTGTGCTCCTGCAGATGCCTACACCGAGACTGTAATCTCCATAACTGCTTCATGTGCACCAAGCCCCCTTGTGGAATCCTGCTGAGAGTTTTTCTAAAAGCCTTCAGTGAAATCAAACTGTCTGAATCATGTAGTCCACCTGACTTTTGTATAATAAAAACTAAGAGCACTTACTTGTTCCCTCCCCTTTGTGGGTCTTAAAAAAAAAATTCTATGTATGTATATATATATATATATATATATATATATCTGCTTAAAGGGGACCAGGTTGCCCTTAGTTGAAATAGGAAAGAAAAACTTATAAATCAGAATCATAAAGTATCAACTTAAGAAGGCTTCTAAACTCAGATAATATAAGCTTTTTGATTAAAAAAAAAGATATCTCATGGCTCACCTGGGTTTGGGTTCTGGTTTTGGCCAGGGTGCAAGAGTGAGCCTGTCTTTGTATCTCAAGTCTTTTCTAGAGGGATGTCACCACTATTCAGCTTTCCTTGGTGTGTCACAGAACATCCTCTGGTATGCAGATGCTTGTTGCTGGCATAGCCCAGCATGGCTGACCCAGTATCAGGTTGAACTATTGTGGCTGCCTCTTCCTTAGTCTCATTCTCCAGACTAAATACTCTCCTAAAGATTAAAAAATAGCAAGGAAAACAGAGTGCCCTTTGGGGAAGTGAGGATGTGTAGCTAAACGTACAGAATGTACACATCCATTTACATTGCAGGGTTGAGCCAAAACTGCATGCATTCACCACAAGAAAACAAACAGCAGGATTTTACAACTGAAATGTTGGTTTGTCTTCTCATCTATCTAAGAGTGAACCACTGGAACTTGGGGACAAGATGAGTATAATGATATTGCAGCCTATCTGTCCGCTACAGTTGCAGTTTTTCATGACAAGCATTCAAAGTGTTAACTAAAACCATTGAAACAACATACCTGCCATTAAAACTTGAATCTAGAAATAATAACTCCATGAGTGTTTTGCACCTCCAGATGGAATGGCCTTTAATAAATGCTATGAATAGCCATGTTTGCCACTTGCAGTTTGCTGTTCTATTAATCCTTATGCAGAGTCTAATAATTTTCTCCTTTCCTCTCTTATCTCTCATGGATTATTAAAAAACTGAACACCCATGTAGATGATGAACCAGCTGGGCCAATGTAAGTACTTTATTGGACGTTGATTTGACAGTTTCTGACTAAATTATGTTGTATTTGCAGTTTAATCAAATGGAGTAGCTAAGATTGTAGTTCCAGAAGACAGTGGAAATGAAGGGTTGAAGTGTAGACTTCTTAATCTGGCATGGATTTGACTAAAGACCATTTGATTCCCAGGACAGGCTGCACCGTCTTATTTTTAGTAGCCATACAAATTAGAATACCATGCAAAACAAAAAATTTTTTTTTTTTATTTTCGCACATTATATATGCTTAACCTGATAATGCAGGGGAAATGACCAGTATATTTGAGGCTTTAGGTTTTGTTAATTTCAAGCTGGAACTATAGCATAGATATAGCATAGATAAATCTCTCTTGGATAAGCTGGTATCCAGGGGAGGTGGAGCTCCAATATGGAATCAGTCCAAGATTGGCATAATCTCCTAGAGTTGGGGACTAAGGAGCGAGAGGCAGGTAAACAGTGCCCAAATTATTTAAGTATCAGAGGGCACAGCACTGGCAGCTCTCATGACTATTTTTTATCAGTTCAGAAGAGACAGTGGTGTTCAGCGGAGAAAAATTCACTCACTCTCACCTTTATAGTAATTGGATTATAGTTGAGAAATCAAAAGGAAAGTCACATGTATGTTGTCTGCTTTGGGAGTCAAAGGGAGGATTAATCGAAGGTATATACAGGTTGAGTTATCCCTAATATGAAAATCTGTAATCCAAAAATGCTCCAAACTCCAAAATTTTTTAAAGTGCCAACATGATGCTCAAAGGAAATGCTCATTGAAGCATTTTGGATTTTGGATTTTTACATTAGAAATGCTGAACTGGTAAGTATAATGCAAATATTCCAAAATCCAAAAAATCCATTTTCTGAAACACTTCTGGTCCCAAGCATTTTGGGTAAAGGATACTCAACCTGTAGGTACTTTACATAAAGAATGTTTTTATGCACTAATATTGTGCGGTAAGATTTCTTACTACACCAGGGATGGCAGTAGGTGAAAGAGTCCTTGTATTTCCATGTGTTATACTTTCAAAAGTTGTTACTTAGTTTAACTCATGTAATGCCATTTTTCCTTCAAAGGAAAACCAACTCTACCAACAATCACAAAGATAAAAACTTGCGCCAGAGAAACACAAATTAAGTACTGCTTATAATGTAAGTATGGCCTTCTTTAGCAGTTTTAAAGATTATATTCAAAGGAATGTGCCTCTGTTGACCTTGTTAAATTCAGTAGATGGTGTTATGTTAGAAGGTCTTTTAGTTCATTTCAGAGCAGCCGATACTGATGGAACAAGTGCCGCCCTCTCAGTTTAGTGACTGGGAGCATTTTTCAGCTGCGTTATTTCACATATTTATATAAATGCCATTTCAGAATATGCATGATGTTTTAAAATAAATACTTTGAGCTACTATTTACATATATCGTTAAAAAGGGGTAGAAATTAAATTGTCACCTTCTTAGGTGGATTATTCCCAGAGGCCTATTAGTCCTTGCTTCTGAGGGCAAGACAAGAATGGTGGCCAGGCAGCAGCGGGGCTAGAATGCCATCCTGTTAGGCACATGGAGATCGGAATTTCACACCACATCCCTGAGCATGCTGTTTGAACCAGAGCTTTATTTTATGTGGCACTGTGGTAGAGTCCTGAGTGACAGTGCATAATCCCTTTTAATTTCCAAATACATCTTTCTTTACAGATCTTTAAGTTCCTGAAACTGGTGGCAACATGACCTGCTAAATTTTCTGCTTGGACCTCTTTGGTTCTCTCCCCTTTCAAGTGAGCAACACCACAATGACTGTCTAAAGCATGCCTTATTTAGCCTCTCCTGTAAGGGTGACCTAGCCAGGTACATTTTAAACAATGCTTCAGTGTAGAAGGTGTAAACTATTTTGGGCTTGATGTGCTGTGAATGTTGCTTTTTTTTCCTTTGTTAAAATATTTAAATAGAAGTGAAAAGGTCCTCTGAGGATCAGATCGTGCATGCGCCATTTTTTACTTAATGCAGCTGTTAAATTGGCAAAGCTCTAAAATGCACTGCTGCCATCTAGTGATACCTTTTTGTAAAGTACAGCAAAACCTACAGATATATACAGTATATAAATATATATATATATATATTTATATTTTTGGGGATGGGAGAAATCCAAAATAAAGTAAATGCTTGTTTCATTTTTAAGCTGCTGATATTCATTCTTTATTGTATGTTGTCAGATGAGGAAATGTGTAGTTCTGGTACATAAAGATGAGTAATATAAACTGAAATCTATAATTTTAAGGGCTTAACCTATGACTTTAATAAGAAGCTGGAACAGTCCACTGAATGAGTAAAATGAATTGCAGTATATACATGATTGCTTTTTAAGTGATTATTTTTTCTTTTGTTAAATCGTGTAAATTCTTAAATCCTTTTGCACTGATGTGTTGAACCTTATTCTTGTACATTCAATCAAGGCAAACTTTTATAATTTTCCTTTTGTTTTCAATGACCTTGAAATGTTATAGCATGGTGATATTCTATGCAACTATAGTTAATACTTTTTGGTTTGACACTGTATTTTTTCACATTGATTTAATGGTTGATGGTAGATTTTATAACCTAACGGTTCTCATGCGGTGCATAACTGTAGATGCATGTACTTGTGTTTTGTGTAATTGTTGAAGTGCAATGATGTATAAAAAAAGTGGATTCACCTGTTTTTAAAAATAAAACATTGATAAAAGGTGTTTGGAACAATGCTCTTTATTCTAATATCTTTTTTTAGTTTTAGGAGGAAGAATTTTACTGTACTTTGAAGTTCCTGTGTTATATATGTACAGAGAACATTAATTTCTCAACATTGTCAGCTTTTTAAGTTCCTTTTCTACCTCTTCCACAAAAGCTGGGAAATTCTGATCCATGAGGCACAAGCGTAGAAAGGGGCCTAACTCTCCCGCGCCCCATGCAGATTGTTCATAGACAAGGGGCAGCTCCTCCGATGCCAGGATAGACTGCAGAGATACCAGAAGAACAGTTTATTAGAGATTACAGGCGACAGCAATACCCTGAGTAGAACATAGAAAAACAATGCTTTAAGGTAAGATTAGGGAAACACACAGCAGAAAATTAGAGTGTTAATCAGTTTTACAGGCTTCCTTTACATAAGTTTTACTGTTACATTTATAACTTCGTATATACATTTCCTGAATATGCATAGAAAGTGAGATAAACTTGTATCCATAAGGAAAGTATTTTAAATGTATTGATGAAATGATCTGCAAAACTGAGATCCTCTTAGATGAAGAATATTGTGCTGATAACATCCTGTGGATTGACAAGAAACCTATTGACAGATGAACTCCACTAGTTTAGTTCATCTTCCCCACAGAGTAAGTTGTAGAATGGGTGTGAACAGTCCACTATGTGGAAGCTGGGTTCTGAATGTGAGCAAGGTCACAAACTGCCCAAAGGACAAAATTAGTTCACCAACACGTCTTTTTTTTGGCCATCTATGAGATTTGACAAATAGGCATGTAACCATCACCACAATCAAAATACTGAGCCATTTCCATCACCTCTCAAAAAATTCTCTACCTATTGTTGTCAAACCCTTAACCCCTGGGAACCACTGATTTTTTTATTCCTTATAGTTTTGCCTTTTTCATTATGTCATATAAATGAAATCATAATATATAATACTCTTGAAATCTGGCTTCTTTCACTTAGCATAATGTATTTGAGATTAGTCCATGTCACTGAATGTATCAGTAGTTCATTCCTTTTTATTCCTGAGTAAGTATTCCATTGTTTGGATGTGCAACAGTTTGTTTATCCATTCTCCAGTTAAAGGACATTTGGGTTGTTTTGCTTTTTACGATTATGAATAAAGCTGCTATAAACATAGGTTTTCATTTCGCTTGGGTAAATATCTAGGAGTGGGTCATATGGTAAGTGTATATTTAACTTTGTAAGAACTGCCAAATGGTTATACACGGTGGCTGTTCCATTTTACATTCCACCAGCAATGCATATGAGAGTTCTGTTCTAGTTGCTCATCTATCCAGCACTTGGTATCATCAGTTTTTGTTTTTAATTTTAGCCATTCTAATAAGTGTGCAGGGATATCTCACTGTGGTTTTAATTTGCATTCCCCTAATGACTAATAATGTCGAGCATCTTTTCATATGCTTATTTGCCATCTGTATGTTTTCTTTGGTAACCTGCAGTGTTTTAAAACCAGTTGAATAAGTTGCCAACATTTAAATATTAGGAGAGTTCAAATGAAAGTCTGACTGTGCTTGACAATTTGGAATATCTGGCAACACTGGATCCACTATCCCACATGATGACGACAGGCTGCAGCTCTGTGTGGTCTGCTTCCTTTGGTGCAGACATCTTATTGACTCTTCACATTAATTCTATGAGGTAGGTGGTGGTTTTATTCCCTTTCTATGGATAGCACGGTTTGGTGCATAAGTATACAATTGACATTTCTCTAGGAACTATCTGTCATAGAATTTTACTTCTGTAAATTCAGATTGGCTCTTCATGCTAACATGGATTTCTGAAAAAAGAAAAAAAAACATATTGGCTCTTCAGACTGCCTAAAGGTATAAATAAAAAAATGAAAATAACGTGGAGCTGTTTCCACTGGGAGCCATTGTTAATGTTAGCGTATATCCTTCCAAACTTTGTGTGTGTTTATTACAAAAGTGGAATCAGACATGCTGTTTTGTAGCCTCCTTTTTAAAAAATGTATTGTGAATATCTTTCCATGTCAACAGATAAGGATCTATATCACTTTTATTGGTTGCATTTTTATCCCATTTATAGTTACACCACACTTTAACCACTCAGTATCCTAATAAATGAACATTCATGTTTCCAATTTTTGGTTATTCTAAAAATGATGAACATACTTATGTGTATTTGTGTAGTTGAAATGGAATTATAAATAAAATATAAAATTAAATTTGGTATATATTGCTAAGATGCCTTCTGAAAAGTTTTACCAACTTACATTCACAGACTGACTTGTCCAAAAGGTTAGAGCAAACAAATGACATATCTGAGCTCTAGGCCTCATGCATTTTCTCATTTGTATATGGTTCTTCCAACTGTAAATAAACTCGGCAAAGGTACACTTTTTATAGCAACTCATATTTCCTAAATAAGGACATCAGACAAACCCTGCCTTGTTTTTTTGTGGGTTTTTTTTTTTTTTTTTTTTTGGTAACTCTAGTGTCCTCAGCCTCTCAGATTCAATTAACCCCTAAACTTAATACAAATATGGGCAGTATGAAGTCTGCTCTGCTGCTGGACAAATAGGCTTTTTAATTTTTTCTGTCATAGCTGCTGAGTTATTAAAAGAAATAAACATGAATTCTTATTTATTCTTGTTACCTCTTGAATTCTTCATTCTATATTATTGTCCTTTTATTTTGAGTTAGTGGTAAGGCAGATGGAGGAAACACCCATATTTTCTTTTTTGTGCCACTGTTAGCACAGTTTTAATAAATGCAGTAAAGAATATCCATTTTTGAATACTTATGAACTCCATGCAGAATTCTGTGGACAGCATAAGCTAGCTATTGGTGTGAACACCTGCTGCCAAGTGCAGCTGGAAATGCAGTTGAGGGAGACAAAGTCCTCGCAGAGCTCCCAGCAGAGTGGACATCAAGCCACTGTGATTTTGAATGAAGAGGTTTTGCAGCAAGAGGAAAGGGGCTGAAGCACGTCTGACGTAACAAGAGTTGAATCCAGATCTTAGCACTGAAAATTTGCCCCTGTAGAAACCATCGTAGATCTGACTCCAGATTTATTTTGATACTTGTCTTAAAATAGTTCCCAAATTTCATTTCCAAAATTAAGTTAAATTCTTCCGTTTATTCTTTTTTGGAAAATGGTGATTAAATTCTCTCAAACATTCAACCACTCTTCCTCTTTTTATTTCCTCAGGAGGGTAGTTCTTGAGTATGTGCCATCCTGTCTAATCTCACAACAGGGGTAGGTGACAATGGCCTGTCTCTGTCTTTATCATCTTTTATAGTAACACTGTGGGTTTCTATTCTAGAACAAGGAAGTTAACAAGAGGGATACAAATTCTTAGGGATCATTGTTTTTTGTGACAAGAAGACTGAACACTGAAATAGGGTCTACCTGAGCTAACTGTGTCACTGAGGTCCTTCCCTCTGGAGTGCCCGTGCCGGCTGTCACACGCGCCTGCTCTTCCGGGTGCTGGTGGGACTGGAATAAAACAACGTGCAGTTAGGAGATTAGCTAAACATAATCATAAATACCACAGGCCAAAGAAGTGGAAACAAACCTCCTGCCTAGCACACAGCCCTCCAGCTCACCCTCCTGTGCGCCTGATGCACTCACGCACCCCTCCACTGCAGCGCTGCCCGAGTCACAGGACAATCTCCGTGTTACTTTTTAGGTTCTCACTAGGCTGTGGGTTTGGGAGGGCAGGACCTCTGTCTTGTTCTTTGTAGCTCCCATCCCTGTATCACCGCAGTGTCTAGTATGTAGTCTTTTCAAAGAAGAAATACCATCAGTAAAAGTGGTAAAGATCGTTGTACGCAGAGGTCTGTCCTGGTTTAGATGGAAGGTTACTTGGTTTACCACAGCAGAAGTACGTAAAGAGTTTAAATGTGTGGCTCCTGACCTGCAGCGGGTGTGTCTCGCGTCAGACGTGGGGGCGTTCTGTTTCCAGAGGCCCAGCCCAGGGCTCAGGGCAGCACCCACGGAAGCAGGTGCCGTGGCTGTGGTGGGCTGCCTGCGGTGGCCGGGCCCAGCTTCTGATGATCATGGTTTGTCACCTTCTAAAAACTGTTATTTAAGTAATATATGTTCATTATAGGAATGCAAAACAGGGGAAACCGCTATAATTTTGAGGCAACTATTTTTTAATAAAACTGGGTTTGGTGTTTGTTTAAATCTCATTTTAGACATACTGAAGGAATAAGTTCTATGAGTTCTTTTATAAGTAAAATTCCTAGATATCTTCTTTCAACAACTGTTTGTGCCTGTACATACTAGACACTGGGGTGATACAGGGATGGGAGCTACAAAGAACAAGACAAGAGGTCCTGCCCTCCCAAACCCACAGCCTAGTGAGAACCTAAAAAATAAAACGGTGATTGTCCTGTGACTCAGGCAGTGCTGCAGTGGAGGGGTGCGTAAGTGCATCAGGCGCACAGGAGGGTGAGCTGGAGGGCTGTGTGCTAGGCAGGAGGTGCAGGCATGCTCTAGGGTCCATTCAAGGGAATCGGGTAGAACACAGGCTGCTTTCCAGGCAAATGTAATGAACCAGGTATAGGAGGCCTGGAGGCGTGAAGGGCCCTCTCTCTGCTCCTTCCTAGCCACATGTCTGCAGGCCCTGCTATGCTTGGATACCTGTGGCTGCTGCAGTGCTATCTCCAGACAAGCAGTGGTGTTCCTGCACTAGGCATAAGCTGAGGCTGTAATACAGGGAGAAAGGAGGGCCCTCTCTGGAGGGCGCTTCTGTCCATCAGGGAAATGTCTGACTGCCAGAAGGCAAAGGATGCCAAATTCTGTCTTCTGTCCTGTAGAGGAGCTGATTGTTGCCAGTCAGTATGTAGCAGAAAACTAGATCTGGAAGCATCCAAAAAAGGGCAGATAGGGAGGAACAGTAAGGAAGGAAAGAACAACAACAAAAAACTAGTCAAGAATTTTAAAATCAAAATGAACAAAAAGGTCAAAGGACTCTATAATCAGGAGCCCT